CAGTTCGAGAGGCGCAGTTAATCCGAAGATGTCCAAAAAGTCCGATTCGCGCCCGAAATGTCCGTTGACATCGAGGACACGTTGGAAGCGGTTGTGCGGCGGCGTTGCGTACTGGGCGAAGTTGTGATTTGCGGGCTTCGCGTTTCGCTTTGGCGGCAGCGATGCGGTTGGCTTCGTAGATCGCAGCGCCTGTCTTCACTGTCCTCCTCTAGGTCGGTCGATCGAGTGCGAGCTCCTCCCAGTTGGTCGGGTTGATTTGCAGGCATTTCAGGGAGGACTTCGGGGTATCCTTATAACGGCGAATTTGGCCTCCTTGACGGTGAGAACCCGTCGCGACGTCTCTGTAGAAGAGTCGTTTGGGTAGTCGCTCGTCGTCCATGCGCACCAGGTGGCCGCTCCAGCGCAGCTGCATTTGCCTCAGTATGGCGTAGATGCTGAGGATTCCCGTCCGTTCCAGCACATCGGTGTCGAGGATTCGATCCTGCCACTTCAGCCTCAGGATGCGACGAAGACAACTGAGGTGGAAGTGGTTCAGAGGGCGTGCCTGCTTTGCGTACACCGTCCAAGTCTCCGCTCCATACAATAGTGTCGGCAGGATGACGGCCTTGTACATCTTCAGCTTCGTGCTCAGCTGAAGACCATGGCGATTTCAAACTGTGCTTTGGAGGCGACCGAAGGCTTGACTGGCTTTCGAGATCCTGTTGGCGACTTCGTCGTCGGTCTTGGCGTTGCGGGAGAGAGTACTGCCCAGGTACGGGAAGTTTTCCACCACTTGCAGTTGGGTCCCATTCACGCCGATTTGCGGCGGCGCGTTGGGGGCTGTGGCTGAGTTGGGTGGCTGTTGGTGCATCACCACCGACTTCTGCGTGTTAATGACCAGACCGAAATTCTCGCAGGCGGCGGAGAACAGGTCCAGGCTCCGTTGCATCTCCTCTTCCGAGGTGGTATTCAGGGCGCAGTCGTCGGCGAAGAGGAGTTCGTGAACGGTGGTTGTGGATACGCGCGATTGGAAGTGCATCCGCTGTTGATTCAGGAGGTGACCGTCCGTCCTGTAGGCGAGGCGGATCCCGGGGCGTTCGTCGCGGTAGGCGTCCATCAGCATGGCAGAGAACATAAGACTGAAGAGGGTAGGCGCCAGCACACAGCCCTGCTTCACTCCGGTGGTCACTGCTAATGCCTCTGAGACAGCTCCGTTGTCCGTGAATCGCGCCATCATACCGTCGTGCAGCTGACGCACCATCTGAGTGAATAGCTCCGGACAGCCGAATTTCTGCATGATCTTCCACAGTCCTTCACGATTCACCGTGTCGAAGGCTTTCGTCAGGTCCACGAAGGTAGAGTACAGGTGGGTCCGCATCTCCTAACGCTTTTCCTGAAGTTGACGGGCGGCGAAGATCATATCCGTGGTCCCACGATGACGACGGAAGCCGCATTGGCTTTCCGGCAGAAGGCCCTGTTCCAGATGATTATTGAGGCGGTTGAGGAGGATGCGAGCGAAGATCTTCCCGGCGATGTTCAGCAAGGAGATGCCACGGTGGTTGTAGCAGACTTGACGATTCCCTTTTCGCTTGTATAGGTGCACGATAGTTGCGTCCTTGAAATCTTGCGGGACTTCACCTTGACGCCACATCTCTTGGAAGAGCGCAGTCAGGTGATCAATCAGTTGGGGACCTCCGTGCTTGTAGACCTCAGCAGGGATTGCGTCCGATTCGGGTGCTTTCCCGCTGGAGAGCTGCTGCACGGCCCTGATGGTCTCCTGGAGAGATGGCGGGAGGTCGAGGTCCACGTTGGTCTCCACTTGCGGCAAACGCTCGATGGCGGCGTCGGAGATGACGGAGGGGCGGTTGAGGACGCCTCGGAAATGCTCGGCCCATCGCTGTAGAATTTGTGTCTTCTCAGTCAAGAGAGTGCTACCGTCGGCGCTGAGGAGAGGAGCAGTGCCCTTCGTCGGCGGACCGTAGACAGCTTTGATCGCAGAGAAGAAGTTCTTCCATTCGTTGCGGTACGCGTTCCCTTTGCTCCTCAGCTTTGCGAGCAGTCCAGGCGTCCTGCATCTCGCGCAGTCGTTGCTGAAGTTGGCGGCGACGGCGGTAGAAGGCAGCTTTGGTGGCATCAGTGGGGTGATCTACGTAGGCTTTGTGTAGGCGGTTCTTCTCAGCTAGCAGATTTCTGATGGCGGCGTCGTTGTCGTCGAACCAGTCCTGGTGTTGGCGGGGAGCGCGACCGAGGACAGCGAGCGCCGTCGACTGGACCGTGTCTCGCAGTTGACACCAGCGGTTCTCCACGGAGGCTTACTTGGCAGCGGCGGCGTCGGCAGCGATAGGAAGGTTGTCTAGCCTTTGAGCTAGCTCATTGCTGAGATAAAGATGGTGAGCGGGCAAAGACAACATGGCAGCATTCAGCTTACCTGGGGGTCGCTTACCTTGTGGTCTCCTGCGAGGCTGTAGGCGAATATGCATCTTCGATATGACGAGGCGATGGTCGGTCCACCCGTCAGCTACCGCGATCGCCGTCGTCACCAGCACGTCCCGCTGATCTCGACTCCGGACGAGGACATAGTCCAGCAGGTGCCACTGACGCGACCGATGATGCCTCCAGGTGGCCTTCTGTCGCTCCGGCAGACAGAAGAACGTGTTCGTCAGGATGAGGCGGTGTTCTGCGCAGGTGCGGAGCAACAGCAGACCATTGTCATTTGAGCCGCGGAGACCGTGGGGACCCAGCACTCCTCTCCAGGCAGTATGGTCTGTGCCGACGCGGGCGTTGAAGTCGCCAAGGACAATCAACTTGTCCGCCTTCGGCACAGTCGCCAAGAGGGCATGCAGGTCCTCGTAGAATTTGTCTCTGACGGCGTCGGAACTGGTCATCGTCGGAGCGTAGAGGCTGATGATGGTGGCGAATTTTCCTCCACCCCGGAGAGGCAGACGGAGGCTCATCAGGCGATCGTTGATTCCCTGCGGCAGACTGGGCAATCGTCCCACGATGTCGTTCCGGATGGCGAAGGCGACGCCCGCGTCTCGTCGCTCTGGCGTGGGTCGACCACTCCAGAAGAAGGTGTAACCGGCACCCACCTCCTCCAGTTGGCCTTGTTCGGAGAATCGGGTCTCGCTGAGTGCGGCGATGTCCACCTTGTAGCGCGCCAGTTCTCGTGCCACTAGCGCCGTCCTCCGCTCCGGTCGGTTGCTCCTCGGATTTTCTAAAAGGGAACGAACATCCCAAGCTGCCAGAGTGAGCGGGCACACCCTGCCAGTCTGGGGACAGCGAGTGGGGCGAAGGGAAGGAGGTGGAGAAGAAGATGACGAAGGAGAAGAATAGGCAGAAGAATAGGCAGAGGAAGAGGTAGAAGAGGTAGGATGAGGAGAATGAGTATGGTTGTTGTTGTTGTTGTTGTTGTTGTTGTTGTTGTTGTTGTTGTTGTTGTTGTTGTTTCGATTTTGAGTGTTTCGATCATGATTAGACGTCTGCGGCTCTGGCCTGCCTGAAGACGGCGTGGTACCCAGCATTTTTTAGGCCACCTTTTCTAGGCCCTTCCCCTCGTGGGGGCTGGCAGTGCCGCCCCTGAATCGGGCTGCCCAAATGCCTGGTTGGCGCGACCGAATTCCACTATGGGGCCACGGCTTTTATGTTTGTAGTGGAGAACGACCGCATATGCCGTGATTCTGCGGTCTCCGTCGGCGAGGGTGGGCGCGTCTCAGCGAAGGCGATGCGGAGACCCGTCCCGGCAGCAGTTGTCCGACGGCGTACCAGGCAGAGCCTCGTCTCGACGATGCCGGCGCAATTTTTCATCCGACCATCCATCCAGCGGAGTCCGCAGTACACTGTGCACGCGGCACAAGCGCACAGCGCCCTCACCTGGTTTAGCCCGCCAGTCGAGACGGTTGCCCGGGGTGTGGCCGCTGAGCAGAGCCCAGCTTCGTGGAGCCACAGGTGAGAGTTGGGTGCAAGCAAATGGACGCTAGGCGTAGTCTCACCTGCAAGCAAGTGAGCGACCACTACGACCATCACGTGAACCCACCGCTGGACACCCCTACACCCCCCTAATGAAGGATTATATATTCGTACTTTTACTCTATGACCCAACACTGCCTGGAATAAATCCATGTCAACTTGCTTTCTCTTTCCGCGTGGGACTCAAAATGGCTAGTGGAATTCTCTCTCCCTCTCCCTCTCGCTCTCCCTCTCTCTCTCTCTCCCTCTAAATGTTGATACATGCGTTTTGGACCTGAAGTGCTACCCCGACCAGTGATCTTCCAGGGTATCCCTGTGACTGATTTTTCATCACCAAGGGCGTAGGCTTAAGCTACGTCAACAGCCTAGATTTCACGCCGAACGCCGATAGAACTAAGGCCAATGCTGCACAGATTTGCGGTTCTATTTCTTATAATTTCTACCTTCCTGGAATTAAATCAAGCCGTTATCGAATGTTTTTCCTTCACATTCTAGAATACTGCCGTTCATTTTTCGACTTAATGAGCGAAGCCAGTCATTCTAAAAGTTCAAAATGCCCAGAGACGTATTACTAGAGAACTCTCAAGTGCGACACATTCAGGTACTCCCTACTCAAATCGATTCCAACTAACTAACAAAAAATTTCTATGGGTTCGAAGACTATAAGCAGGCTTCTGTCTCCTTTTTCGCATTCATAATAGTTCACATCCTGAGATTTCAGTCCTTCCTCCTGCTAGTCGCCCACTTAACCTTCGCAATTCTTGGTTATGCCTCCTCTCGCCTCCTCCACTCATAAACTATCTCTCTTCTTTGTTTCCGCAAACACCTTTCTTTGAAACAACCTGCCAATCGGTATTAGATCGTCAAACGGTTTCTATCTTTAAGAGGAAACGGCGCCTTTGTTTCAACAATGACTCAATTAGCCCTTTATTTATCTTATCCTTCCCGAACAGTTTTCTCTACAATCCTGAAAAGAACCAATGAGTATTAAGGGCATTGCCGCCGCCAAATTACCTTATTCAATCACATTTTCCCCTCCGCGTGTGGTTTCGCCTTCCATGATCCCGCAGCAGAATTTTAGCCCCTCGGTCCCTGAACCGTGACCTTCACAAAATGCGATGCCCTCATTAGGCCAACCTCTCAGGGAAGTAATCAGGGCCACATCGACGCCAAAGCCCTAAACTGCCTCCGTTTCAGTCGTCGCTAACCCTCATCAGGGCTCCGTTCCAGCCACTGAAACTTCGAGATCTCATCCCAGTTGACGATCTTACTCTGGGTCTGCCACTATCTAGTATCCCCGGGAGCACTGCAATGGCACCTCGCTTTCACCTGCTGATCTTTGTCTCTCATAGGTAGCTCATGCGGCTCCCGAATTGAACTTTAATTGCCTTGTTTAATTCCCCGGAAAATAAATGAACGAATTTGAAGTAAATCATTCGGAACTGACCTTTTCAGGCACGGTCCGAAATTTGATATGAATATTTGAGCTGAAATTCATCAGCTACTGTGGAATAACCGCGTAATATGCACAAACCGCCAACAGACCGCCAGTAGTATAGAATTGCACAATAATTTACCGTACTAACAGCACACGTGGTAGCCAAAAAGCCCAGACACGCGTGTTTCGTCGATCTTATGCCGCTGCCTGGCGCAGCTGCGAGGGGTTCGGCTCGTCAGTGACCCCCACAGCTTTAATTATCAGTTGGTTACGAGTGACTTCAGTCTTCTTGAATTCTGCATGGGGACGCTGGGAAGGCAAAATCGTGCATGAAAGGGAGCCTGTCTGCGGAGTCTAATGTCTCGATAGATGTCTGGGAGCAGGGTTGGAAAGCCTGCGTTCATGTGTGCCTGCATTGAGCCTGTGTCCATTGCGGTCGCGAGAGCATGCGGCGAGTCAGCGTTGTGCAATTGGGTTTGTCGATCACCTAGTACGTGGGCATCTGTGATTGGCTGGACGCACTGGCAAATCAGTGATGCTTTCGCCCGAGGCGGCCATTCAGTCAGTCGATATCGCAGCCAACCGGTCTGGATGTCAGGTCAGTAGGCCTGATTGACCATCATCTCTGGCACGGCGTATGCTGCTTTATGACAGAGGCAGCTTTGGGTGGGAGCTCTTACAACCACACGGGGCTGCCTCGTCGCAGAACCCTTAGGCTGTGCTGAATGCTAATACAAGGCAACGTTGGGAGTTACGGTTATGTCTCACGCGGCATTCTGCCAGTGCGTCGAATGTCAGACGTGAGATGGAGCGACTGATGAAACACGCTAGCCGGAGACTTTGGCTTACTGGCATGAACTCCACAACGGGCCACGCTGCAGATGTGCTGAACTAAGAGAGGGACCAGGCTGGCTCGCAGCACGCGCTCATCGGGTAGTGCTTGGTCCGCACGAACGCTGGGCGTAGATCCCCACGCCGTGTCGGCCACCGCGGCCAATCCCGTCGCAAAATGGTTGACAGACTCAAACAGCTGACTGGCAAATGGGAGAGGGAAGAGAAAGTGAAGGCGACACTGGGGAACCCATTCCCTTGTCAAATCAGCACACTCCTTAATATAATTAATCCGGAGTACTTGAATCTAGCACGATGCACTAAGAGCTGCGGCTTGGATGGCAACCAACTGACGGGATAAATCCATGGGCGTATTTTGGAATGACTTGAGAACTGGGAGTCAGATTGGAATGGTTACCTTCTAACGTGGCATTTCTCGCATTCTGGAACCAGAGAAATCCGAACTATCCTTGCAGTAGTGTTGGGGTATGCTCTGGGAACCATGTCATGTGTGGCACTGCACCAGCGACAACCTTCATTTGCCCTGACATTGTCCTGCCGTCTAAACAATTTGGGTGAGGGAGGAGAGAGTGAGGCGGATGCTGTGCAAGTTCGTTGGCCCACGCTCAGGTCACCAGCGCCGCATCCACCCTGTGAGGCACGCGACGGATTTCTTCGCTTGCGACGGTCCAACTGTCGGTCTGCTGATGCAAGGGACAAGAGCGGTCTGAACGTATAGCACCCGTGCGAAGTTTGAATCAGACGAATTCCCAGTGAGAAGTTTTGTTATAGTTCTGACAACAAATTTGGACTGATGGTATATTTCTTCTGGTTGCCAGAGTTATCTCGATACGAACGAAGAGTAACGTCCGACCAACGGTAGTCCGTGAAATGTTGACCGAAATTTCGAAATGCCTTTTTGACTTAGAAGGATTATTGATATTTTGGCAGATTTTGAATAATTCATATTGACCCAACTGTGAAAAACTCGACGACTCGGTGGGAGTCGAACCCACGCAGTAAGGGGAAGGCTTCCCCTTACTGCGTGGGTTCGACTCCCACCGAGGCGCCGAGTTTTTCACAGTTGGGTCAATATGAATTAGAAGGATTACTTAAGTGGGGTTGTAATATTGGTTATTGTGCGGCATAATCCCACGATATTGCAGACAGGCCAGGATTTTCGCCTTTAAATAACCTTCTCTTCGGCCACCTGAAAAAATCGAACCCGATAAAAACGAGTACTTAAGCAGTATTTCGGTATTCCGGGGAACGCGTATAAGCCAAAAAACAGATTTCGGTTTATATCATTCGTCACTGACAGAATATGAATAAGAAGGAAAACGTGCAAACCTCAACAGTGGATGCCCTTGCCAAAGGATTCCTTAGTCAGTATTCGAACAAATCGAGTTTTCAGCTCAATGTCAGACATATAAACCAGTCAGTTAAAAAAAACATATTTTATGCCCAAAAAGGGTACAAAAAGGCAAGGGAGGGGACAACAACGGGGAGCATAACTGGAAGAACTTGAAAGAGGGACTTAGAGAGTTCCAAGTGTTGTGCAAGGGGACGCAACAAGTAGTATTCCATTTTCTATTGATTTTCTATGCTCTTATAACTTCAAATGTGTGTATATGATCTTCCTTTGGCCTAGTAGGCGCTTCGTGCAAGGCCCCAGTCAGTCGAGATGGGTCGGACAGCACTGGCGAACAAATCGCGGCCCATCCAACAGTTGTCATCATCACAGCAGGGAGAAAGAGCCAGTCGGAGGTAACACGACCGCCGCAAGACATCGACCCACCGACGCGTCCAAAACAGTCGAACGCGATTCGAACATGCGGCGGGGGCTGATCCGCCCACCAGGTGATGAGGGGAGGGCCCACGAGCACACGGACAATGCGGCGACAAAAACGGCCGGGCAGGGGACAGAGGTCACACGAGTGCGACAGCAGTCGGTCACGGAGAGAACAACGCCAATTCCCAGCCAGAAGGCAGGTCAGAGTTCGTGCGTTAGGCATGCCTTTAACAGGACACAGATGGGAAGACAGAACGACTCTGAGTTAGCAGGAACAGACACCCAACCACTCTGATGATGGAAACGAGGAAGTTTCCGAAACATCAGCACAAGTACAGTGTGGTCCATGGAGTAGCCCCTTTTCTGCTTCGTCTTATTTTGGGGATGACGAGCGGGATAATTTGTCCGGACCTCGAATCTTCACTCACGTTGGTGTATATATGTAAATGCAGAATGGTGTTACCGACAAAGACAAAGGGGACTGGATGGCCAGT